GCATTTCCATTCTATCTCGCAAGATTTTTTTGAAAACCGAATCTTGCGAAGCCTACCAATATTGCGTTAGGCATATTCGGAGGTTGCTATATTATCAGAAACTGGATTTCGTTCTTTTCTGAAAATCGCATCTTTACTCCATTTCGCAAAAAAAAAATTCAAGATCGCAGTTTGTAAAAGCCAAAACTTTGCGGCACCTAGCCTAGATCTCGTTCATAATACTCTTCTGACATATCCTACTCATCATAAATCGGCAGATATATACAAAAAAAAAAGAAAAAAAAAAGGAAGTAGTCCTCTTTTATTTTTATTTATTTATTTATTTATTTATTTTTATCTATTGATTAGGGCCGGAGGAAAGTATTGTTGGGTTGGTTACCTCCCTTCGTTTTCCCTCCCACCCACCCCTTGCATGCACCCCGTTCGGTACAGTGCCACGTCACAGTGCCAGATCAGCAGTGCCACGTCAGCAGTGCCATGTCAGCAGTGCCATGTCACAGTGCCAAGTCACAGTGCCACGTCAGCAGTGCCACGTCACAGTGCCAGATCAGCAGTGCCATGTCAGACACAGTGCCACGTCAGCAGTGACGTCCGACACAGTGCCACGTCAGCAGTACCATGTCAGACAATGCCACGTCAGCAGCAGTGCCACGTTAGCAACAGGACGGGCTTGCCAGGCCAACTGCCCAATGAGACCATTGCCGCCTTCAAGCAGCGTTGCCTGGCTCAGATAGAGGCTGAGGAACAATGCCTGCTGGCAGTCGAGGCTGCCCGCGTACAAGCTGAAGAGGCAGCAGCAGCAGAGAAGCTGCGGCTACAGGCCGATGCAGACGCAGATGCCCAGGCTCGCCACAAGGAAGCCCAGGATCTGCTGCAGCGGCATGAAGCCAACAGCATCGACAGACTCAAGTACTGGCATTTTAAACCGAATGGCGACGAGGCAACACCGGAAGAGAAGCACAAGGAGTTCCTCTCCAAACTCGTGACGCGGTTGTTGTATGCTTGCAACTACCAAAGGTCAGAGTTGGAGAGACAGTATCAGGAGTTGGCGACGCTCCGCCTCACAGTGCAAAGCCACGAGGATGCAACTCGGGCACTCAATGCCCAATTGTTGGACCTGGAACAGGCTGTACCAGGACCAGCTGCTGGAGCTTCCAGCAGTGC